GTATGTGAAAGAGAATTTGAATTTGCATCTTCCTGACTTCTAGACCACCGACTTGTTTAGCCATACCATCTTATTGCCTGTATCAGGGAAAACTTTGATGGAAGAGATCCCATTTGACCTTGGCCGAGGCCGGAACACTGAGTCATTCAGCCTCCTCAGGAAGAAATAAGAGTTAACCATCATAAATAGTCATGAATTGTGTATACTTGCAAGCTGTACTAAAGATTCACTTTCAGTCAATATTTTTACAGGGTGATATTTCTCAAGAAGACAGACCTGAATTAAGCAAATAAAGGATAGAGCTGATGTTCAAACACGAGCTTAATTAATCTGCCACCAACTTCACCATGATTAGAGCATTTACACCAAAATTGGAGAATGGACCCCAACTACTAAAAGCATGCAATTAGTTAGATAAAACCCAAAAATTGTTGAACCATTGCAGTCATTAAGGAAAAGATATTGCAGAACATTAAAAATCCTTGATTCATGGAATCAAAGAATCTCAGAAATAGGAAGGGACCTCAGGGATACTTTACTCAAACTTACCCCTGAACAATTCTGTCTACATCTTCAAAAAGTGGTCATCCAAAAACTACTTGAATTCGTCTAGTAATGGGAAACTCATTACTTCTCAAAAATAAAATATTCATTATTAAACGCCTCTATTTTACTGTTTTACAATATCACCTCATTTACTCCTCATAACAATCTTGAAAATTATGTGCTATTTATTATCTCCATTTTACCGATGAAGAAACTGAGGCAGAAAAATGTTAAGTGATTTTTCCAGGATCATCCAGCTAGTAAGTAACTGAGACCAGATGTGAATGTAAGTCTTCCTGACTCCAGGTCCAGCACTCTATCTACTGCCCAGTAGCTGCTTATTAACTGCATAGGATTTAGGTCCACAAGTAGCCTTATAAACCCTCTCAAGTTTCTTATTTAAAGACAAGGAAACTGAGGTCAAGAAAAGTGAAATGAGTTGCTCATGGTTACAGAGCCAGGATTTGAACTTGGACCCTTGGATTTGAAAATTCTTCTCTTTCTACCACGTACTCCCTCTCATCTTCAGATATTTAAGAATATAAATCATGCTTTCCACCTTCAAAAAAAATCTATGTCAACCCCTGGTGATGGAGTTAAAATTGTATATAAAAAAAAAAGCTAGGTGCAGATTAAGACATGTATTTTATGAACATGGCCAATGCAGTAATTAATTTTGCATCACTAGTCATGTTGGTCACAGGGATTATCTTGTTCTTTCTTTTTCCTAATGGGGGAAGATAAAAGGGAAAGAAAATAGATTGTTGTTAATTGAAAAAAAATAAATTTAATTTAAAAATAAAATACATTTAAATAAATTTAAAAATAAAAAAAGCAATAATGTCTCTTCTGCATGGCATTTTCCGATTCACAAGCATTTTAAGTCCAGTTCTGATGATATCACCTTTCCTGCTCAGTATTAATCAGTGTTCTCTGTTGCTTCCAGAATCAAATAAACTGACTTAAAAACATTTGACCATTCAACAAACCTTCATGTTCATCAAGCGCTGATCATATGCAAGAGTCTATGGTTAATAGAAGGATGAATTGGTCGTACTTCCTGCCCTCTAGAAGTTTGCTGTCTAGTAGGATTGATGAGATACATACAAGACAAAAAAAAAATAACTAAGAAAGGAAAGCAGGATGTGCTATGTATCCAAATCAGCAGTACTGACAACTAGTGCTCAGCTGTGAAGAATTACAACAATTCTGAAAGTCAGATATCTTTAATTATGTATCGGTTTACATTCTGTGTTCTTCCTGCAGAGTACACATTCCTTGAGAGCAGGGACTTTGTATCCAATAGAGCTTAATAAAATATCTTTCAAATAGTAGGCTCTTATTAAGGCTTACTGAATTGCGTTGCATTGAATTGTCCTTTATAGGGAGTGGGGAAGGAGAAAGGCCTTGAGCGAATGCACAGAGGCAGAGGATAGAACTTTTGATAATAGTTCACTTTGGTGAGAGTACGTGAAGTTGAGTAATATGAAATACAACTGGAAAGCTAAGATGAATCCTAATATTGACATCTTAGGATGGATTTGGTTCTGTTACTAAAATAGCTAGCATTTACTTTACAAACATTACCTCATTCTATTCTCACAATAACTCTGGGACGTAGCTGTTCTTATGACCCCCGTTTTATAGATGAGGAAACTGAGGCTGAGAAAGGTTAAATGATTTACCCAAGGGTCACTCAGCTAGCAAGTAGTTGGGGTAGAATTTGAACTCAGGTCTTCCTGAGGCAAGTCCAGCACTCTATCCACTCTACTACCTAGCTGCCCCTGAGAAAGGGTTACCCAAATGATGTTGATAGCCCAGTAAGCACAAACTTAAGTGTTTAGTGCTTATTGATGATTTAACCCAACAATACACAGCCACTGGTAGAGGAGGACAGCCAGATATTTACCCACTTCGCAGAATTGAGATGGGGGTTACATCCCCAATCTGAATGTAATCCCTGCTTCAGCCATTAAAATGTTTCTTTGTGTGGGTCACAAACCTCCTACTCCTTGGAATGGTCAAGGAGGAAATGAAGCCTCAAATATGTCTCCTCTTATATTAGAGGAGCAGCTTTGCACTACCACTTACTCAAAGGGGATGGGTGCACAGGGTTCTTAATCTGGGGTCCATCTACTTGTTAAAATATTTTGACAGGTCAGTAAATAAATATTAAGTGCCTACTATGTGCCAGGTATTTTGCTAGGCATGGGGATACAAATATGAAAAAGACAGTTCCTGCTCTCAAGGAACTTACAATCTAATGAGTGAAGATGCACACAAAAGGAAGATAAAAGTGGGCAGGATTGTTGCTGGTGGTGGTGGTGGTGGTGGTGTGGTGTTGTTGTTTGTCCTTCATTCTCAAAGAGGACCGTGATGCCAGGTGATGCCAGAACTTGCAAGTGAATTGGATTTAAGAGAAGGAAGGCTGTGCAAAGTCACCAGCCTCATCCTCTCCTCCAGAACCATCTGGGTCCAGTGCCAAGAAACAGATCAGGACAACTGGAGATGGCCCAGGATGCAGTGGGGGACCTTGGACTTTTCAAGCGAAGGTCTTTAACAGGCTTCAATTTGACTGAGGCAAAGCCCATTCAGTGATTAAGACTTAATAAAAACTGAGGCAGAGAATGTCACTTTACCTAGTCAAAAAAGAAAAATCAATTTGGAATGGGAACACCCTCAGGGTTTCTGGCCAAAATAAAAATAATTGCTATTTACATTCATTCTGGGCCAATCAGAGCCCAAACAATGATGAAGCATGGCATCACCTCCCTGATGTCATGGTCCTCTCCTAGAAGGAAGGACAAACAGCAACCTCTGTGAGTAGAAAAGGAGCTTCCCACTGGAGACCAAACTGGAACTGGCCAGTTGGGCAACATGACTTTCTTTCACTTCCTTCTTTTCTTCCTTCCTCCCTCTCTCCTTCCCTTCCTTCCTTCCTTCCTTCCTTCCTTCCTTCCTTCCTTCCTTCCTTCCTTCCTTCCTTCCTTCCTTCCTTTTCCTTTCTATCTTTCTTTTTTTCTTTCTTTCCTTTTTTGTTTCTTTCTTTCCCTCTTCTCCGTCCACATAGGGTATCACACCCTTGCCTGCAGGTGCTTTGCCCAAACAGAATGTAAATTTTAGTCTCTGAAACCTTTTTTCTTTCTTTCTTAAAGACCATACTTAAGCCCAAATCACTCTGGCTCACATTGACTGGGCGAGAAAGGAAGGAGTAGGAGGCAGAGAGACAAGGTGAAAAGATAGCCAGCCAGTGGGGACCCTAATGGAGAAACTGCAAGGAGAATAGCCAGGTGGAGAAAAAAAGAGATGGCTGGCCAGGGCACACTCCTTTTGGTGAGGAGCTCATCACTCTACCCTTCAAAGGGGCAGAAGATATCAATAAGATGTATTTCAATCTAATTAGTTTCCTTTGTAATCCTAGGTATTTTACTTTATGCATTTAGAAACATTATTTGCAGAAGTTCATAGGCTTTATCAAACTTCTAAAGGAGTCACACACAAAAATTAAAAATCCATGATTCTGTTAGGAGTAGCAAACATTGTTAAACATTCCTAAGTATGGCAAAGCAGTACAGTTATCCCTTTCACATTGTGACTTTCCCCATCACAGGTTCAATATATCGTGGGTCAGCATAAGAAATTAAATGGGAATTTTGGAGGTGTTTTACAGAAGCTGCAGACCATGCAAAGGCCAGCAGATGACACACAAAAAAATTTAGAAACTCAGATATGCATAAAATATATGAATAGTATTATATAGTATCAACCCAAATTTTACAATAAGGTACTGTAAACACCCAATAAAGGAAAAAGAAAAAATTCAGACTTCTCTGGTACAAAGGGAAGGCCAAAAAAATTTATGCAAATTTTCCAGATCACAGGGCACCATGCCCCATAATGTGGAAGGGGCAACTGCAATAACGAAGAAGCTCAAAGTAAAAAACAGTGAAGAACATAAATACCCCAACATTCAAGAATCTAGTTTACTAACTCCAAGAATCTATCCTTGGACCAGAAATAATAGAGCTAGAATGAACCTTAGACATCACAGACTTTTTGATGAGGAAGAATTTAGAAATAGCCTCATTCAACCCTCTCTTTTGATAGAGAGATTTAGATTGACTTTAGAAAGGCCTAGCAGCACAGCGTGACTTGAGCCCAGGTGTTCTGTGGACAAAGCCATCCCACCAGGCTGCTGCCATAGATAGCCTCAATTTCCCATTATATCGGAACACTTTCCTTCCCCATTCTTAGCTCTTTTAAATAGATTTAGTGATGAGTTAGCTACTCCTGAGGTGTTGCTGGCAGCCTCATTTCCTCAGGGTGGTAGGGACAGAACAGATTTCAGGAGTAGGCTTCTAAACAGCATTATCTCTCTGGGGATCATATGCACAGTTTTGCAGAAGCCCCTTGCAAGTGTGTATGTAAAAACTAAGAAGAAAAAAGGAACTGACCAGATATAAATGATTGCAGGGATGTACCAGCCTGGCCCTCAGGCCTTCTCTTGGGTGTCTTCCAAGGCTGGCTGGAACAAAGGCCAAATTGCTACAAGGGAATACACCCAGTGACTTCCTTGTTTTTAAAAAAACAAGACACACCCAGCTCATTTCTGATGTCATTCCAGACCCTTTCTGGAAATCTGGATATCCACGGAAAGGAGACATAGAATCCAAGAGTTAGGGAAGGAAAAAAACCAAAATAGCCTTACAATTAAACGGAGAGGTTGGGAGGGTAAATGGTCTGTGAGGCCCCTGTCTAGCTATAACATTCTACAGTTACATTATTGTATAGGTGATCTAGCCTAACCTCCTACACCCTCCTAGAATCCCTTTGATAACCAAAATAACAGAATGGCAATAAATTCATTTCAGTTAATATTTGTTAAGTACTTCTTATGAGCCAAGCCCTGTGCTAGGCACTCAGATTCAGACAAGAGAAGGAAAAAATAATTCTTGCCCTCTACGCACTTACAGCATTCAATGAGGTAAATATAATATAATTTCAGAAAAGAGAGAGGAATAACAACTAGAGAGATTAGAAAAGGCTTCCCTTAAGTGAAGGCATCTGAATTGAGCCTTGAAGAAAATGAAGTGTAATAGTAATAACTTATCCTTATTTAGATGGAGTTTTACTGTGTAAAATTTACAAAGCCTAACAATTATCATCTAGCTTCAGCACCTCCAGTGACAATGAGCTTATTACCTCACAAGAGAGGCTATTTCATTACCAGACCCCTCTAATTCTTAGCAAGTTCTTCCTCCATAAAGTCAAACAACTTTTGTTAAGGGCCTGCTATGTGCCATGCAGACTGTGCCACTTTCTGGAGTTATAATGACCAAAAAAAAAAAAATCCAGCCCCTGCCCTCCAGGAGCTTACATTCTACTGAATATGGTACACCAAACTTCCTCCCTTCAGTTTCCATCCAATGTCCCTAGCTCTGACCTCTACAATTAATTATAGCATGTTTAATGTTCTTTGGCCAAGATGGTCTGAATGGGATGTCCCAGTGAAGACTTCTCAGTGTAACTAAGGTAATGAGTTCAGAAGGTAGGATAGGGTTAAGAATAGATTTCTGTAAGTTATTTTTTTTTAGTGCCATATATCAGTAGTTAAAATTTGTCTAGTGGTTAAGTCTTAACCTACTTTTTAATCTTATTCAAATTCGTCTTTGCCCCTAAAAAGAATCTGGCTCCAGAAAACCTTTAAAAGATTCCTTATCTAGTCCCCTTATCTCCCTTTGACAGGATCTTATTCAGAAGTCTTCCAGTTCCCAGCATTGTCTGTTCAGACCTTCCAAAACAATGTAAATTATCTTCTTAACTGCACATTTTTTTATTATTTCTTTGACATTATCTCAACAAACTGAGAAATATAGAGATGTATACTATGTCCTTTGTCCTGTGTTAGAGTCTGGTGTGTGAGAGTGTGAGCCAAGTTAGTGGACAGTTAGGGGAGGGAGGGGAAATTGAACCTTCAGGGTTATATAAACTGACTTCTGCCTCTGCGGGTTATCTCCTCTTCATCAAAGCCTACTGGTGTGAGGACACCCAAATCTCTAGATTTGAAATAATAATAATTATAGCTATAATAAATTAACTTCCTGTTTCTCCTTGGACACCTCTGTGTTTTGTTTTATTTTTAATTTGAGTGGTGTCCCACACATGGTCCTTCAAATATTTGAAGACAGCCATCTTGTTCTCCCTAAGTCTTCTCTAAGCTAAACAGCCCATGTTCCTTCAATTGATTCCTCTAAGGAATGATTCTCTTTCCCCTCACTATTTCCTTGTACTTTGTGGGATGTGTTTTATTAGTATCTTTCTTAATGTGTTCTCAGATTGCCATATTCCAGATGTGGTCTGAGGTAGAAGACAGCAGGACTATCACCTTCACCATTGTGAAGGACAGTATGTTTGGACAATATATTTTTATCACTTAAAATTACATTAGAGTAATAGGCTAGTGTGAAATTGAAATTAGGAGGCAACTCTTAGGGCCATGATCCCTGTCTACAAAGCTAGCAACCAAGAGAACATAAATAAGCAATGGCAAATCTCTGCTGGCTGAGTTATCCAAACAGGCCACCTGTCCCCACAGGGATGTGTTGGTGCCTTCTTCTAAATAGCTGGGATTGGGCCAGAGTCTTCTTGAACTAGGTTTCCAAAGCTCCAAATGGTTGGCAGTTGCAGTTCTTGGCACAAGCCAAATTTGGATTCCAGTCATGCAGAAAGGGAGGGATCCAATCCTCCAGGGAAGGTGTATTCAGCCCCGAGCTTATAGGCCCCAGTTTTCATCCTAACTCACTAGGGTTGGATTTCTAGAAAGCATGTCAGAAGGCAGTTAGTTTCTCATCACTGGAGATGCTCCAGGAGGGGAGAATGGGATAGGGCAAGAGTCCTTCCTAGACAAAAAATCATTTCCCCTAATTTTTTCCTGGGTTCTTAAGAGACTCAGGTCAATGGAAACAAAGATGTTTTCACAAGTAGGTTATAAGTTCCATGAGGACAAGGACATATCTGATGTAAACTTTGAATCTTCCCCAGAGTCAAGCATAGTTCTCACACAATAACAGGTGCTTAATAAATGTTTACTGAATTGGGTGGACAAGCCAAAGCAAGAGAATATCAATGTAATAGAAAGGACACTAAACGTGAAGTCACAAGACTTGTGTAGTGAGGGTCAGGCACATGCTCAGACCCTATCATCTTGCTTGACTGATGAAACCTGTCCACATGGGGGATACATGGAAAGTAGTTACTGAGAGAATTATGATGACTTGTTAAGGAAGAGCTTGGAGACACTGTGGAGCATTGTAGACTTCCCATAATTGAGTCCGGTTGGCTAGCCATGTGATGAAGGAGAGGTTTTAGGATTGGCTTTGAAGGTATTCAGAAAGCCCTATTCAGAAAGTCAGAATCAGTTAGCTCCTCTTTCTTTCATTCATATCAGGGAGGAGTTCAGTAATACCTTTGTGCACAGAGTGGAATGAAAGACCTTACTGGAAGGGCAACCTTTAGTGCCTTCCTTACTCTGAGACCCTTGTAGCCCCAACAAAGATGCCTCAGTCCTTGACCTTTTCATTTGTTATTTCCTGTTCTGGGTGAAGGGAATGGAGTCTTTGACCTTGGGAGTTTTGAAAGTCATGAGGGTGCTCTGTGTCCTGATGTTTTAGAGTTTGGTTTCCAGACTGGATGTTGCAGGCAGTGCCCTGAAGGGGTAAAATGTTAACCTTCAGGGCCCAGACCAGTGAGAGCTAAGATGAGGACTCATCTGGCAGTTGTGTTACCTTTGAACATAAACTTGAACAAAACTCATGTTTTGTAAGAACAGGATTAAGTTTTGAACCTACTCCTTCAGAGACTAAGGTAAAAAGGTGAAAGTATGTCCCTAAAGGTATGGAGATGTGGGGAGAGGAAGGGTGGAGAAATAAAATATAAATTTGTACAAGTGTAGAGGTTTGCTATATATTTAAAGTAAATATCTCTTTGTAAACGTTAACCAAAGTTAAATAATCAAATGTAAACAGGATGCTAATTATTGGACCCTAACAATGGGTACAATAGAACCAGGGAAGGCTCAAGCCAATGGCAATAGGGAAGAGTCATACCCCAACTCATCCGGGCTACCTTCTGGTATCCCAAAGGGCTAATACAGCAGCCTGGTTCAAAGAGAAAGGGTGAGACCATGCATGCTACACTTATGTTCAAGTGTGTGTTTTGCTATGTAAGCAAGGCATCTCCCTTGACAATCTTCTTCAACTGTAAAATCAAGAAATTAACCTAGGTGATCCTTCTGGTTCAACATTCTATGATATTGTCTATATTAGCACAACAAAGAACAGTAATGAAAGAAACAAAAATGACAAGTGTGCCCTTTGTCAGAGCCCTCTTAGAAAACAATACTTTAATTCAAAGGAAAATAATGATGATAATACCTGACATTTATCTATCACTTTATGATGTACATCCATCATTTCATTTGATCATCATGACAATCCTATATGTTCTTTAGAATTCAGGGGTGGCCTGAATTGAGGCCACAGGTGGCCTTCTAGGTCCTTGGGTGCAGCCTTTTGACTGAATCCATGTTTTACAGAACATATCCTTTTATTAATAGATTTGTTCTGTGAAATTTGAATTCAGCCAAAGGGCCACTCTTGAGGACATAGAGGGCCACATGTGGCCTTGAGGCCTCTAGTTCCCCACCGCTATAATAGATATTATTAGTTTCCTCACTTTACAAATGAGGGAACTGAAACTCAGGGAAGTTAAATAAATTGTTCAGGGTCCCCAAAATTTTTCTTTAGTTGTTTTTCAGTCATATCTGCCTCTTTAAAAAAAATCTATGTATTTATTTATATATGTGTATATGTATGTATATACATATATATATAGTTAATTTGTTTTAGTTTTTGACGTTCACTTTTATAAGATTTTGAGTTCTAAACTTTTCTCCCATCCCTTCCCTTCCCTTTCTCCCCTCCCACCTCCCCAAGATGGCATGCAATCTGATACAAGCTATACGTGTACAATCATATAAAACATATTTCCACATTAGTCATGTTGTGACAGAAGAATCAGAACAAAAGGGAAAAACCATGAGAAAGAAAAAACAACAAAAAAAGAGAAAATAGTATGCTTTGATCTATATTCAGACTCTGGATGTGGATAGCATTTTCTATCATGAGTGTTTTGAAATTGACTTAGATCATTGTATTGCTGAGAAGAGCTATCAGAATTAGTAATCACACAGTGCTGCTGTTACTACATACAATGTTCTCCTGATTCTGCTCATTTCATTTTTCATCAGTGCATTCAAGTCTTTCTAGGTTTCTCTGAAATCTGCCTGCTCATCATTTCTTATAGCACAATAGTATTCCATTACATTCATATATCACAACTTGTTCAGCCATTCCCCAGTTGATGGGCATCCCCCCAATTTCCAAATCTTTGCCACCACAAAAACAGCTGCTATAGATATTTTTGTACATGTGGGTCCCTTTCCCATTTTTATGACCTTTTTGGGTTAC